TATATAATGAATGATGTTTATGATCCTATTTGATGGGTTTACATTACTGTATGCAGAAGAATTAATTTAAAAAACCTGACGCTGAATGCAGATGGACATCGGTCGGTGTAAATAATAATCCATCGACACACAAAAAGACCAAAATATTGTACTGTGACCTAATTCTCACCTCTAATAAATGCCGTTATGTAACCAGACAAAACAAATCAGAAATGATGAGTGGTGACTGTATATACAGTTTGGGATAGAGATAAGTTTCTGTATGCATTAAATGCATTGATTAGCCTGTTAAAATTTGACATTTTAAATGATATTAAAGGGGTGGTTCATTGCGATTTCATTTTTTTTATGTTATTTAGTGTGTAATGTTGCTGTTTGAGCATTAACAAAGCTGCAAAGTTACGAAGCTGAAAGTTCAATGCAAACGGAGATATCCGTTAAAAAAGATATCCGGAGATAAATGGAGAATTTTTTTATGTCTTTTAAAATTCTGGCAGTTTAATGCCCTCAAAAATGGCTGGTAGGGACTACAAGAAGTTACTTCCCGGGTTCGTGACATCACAAACCCAGATAAGCACACCGGGCTAGCTAACCAATCAGAGCCCATTGGGCGGGGCTTCATAAAAACAGGAAAAGATCAGCCCGTTTCTCAGCGTTAAAAAAGATATCCGGAGATAAATGGAGAATTTTTTTATGTCTTTTAAAATTCTGGCAGTTTAATGCCCTCAAAAATGGCTGGTAGGGACTACAAGAAGTTACTTCCCGGGTTCGTAATGCGCTTTTTTTTTTTTTAACGAAGCATTAACTCATGTTAGACTGCACACCATAAACACAATCAAGCCTAGAAAAAACCCAGTGAACTACCCCTTTAAAATAATATATAAATTAAAGATGCGAAAGTTGGGTCAGTAAGTTTGTGTTTTGTTTTGTTTTTTATTTAGCAAGGATGCATTAAATTGATCAAAGGATATATATTATTTTTTAAACTTTATATTCATCAAAGAATTGTATCACAGTTTCCACAAAAATATGGAACTCTTTTCAAAATGTATAATGATTAATGTTTTCTTGAGCACCAAATCAGCATATTAGAATGATTTCTGAAGGATCATGTGACACTGAAGACTGGAGTAATGATGCTGAAAATTCTGCTTTGGGAAGAAATTACATTTTAAAATGCATTCAAATAGAAAACATTTATTTGAAATAGACATAATACTTCATAATATTGCTGTTTTTACTGTATTTTGATCAAATTAATGCAGCTTTGTTGAACAGAAGAGATTTTTTTTTAAAAACATTAAAATAATCTTACTGACCCCAATCTTTTGAACGATAGTGTATATTATTTTTTAATTATTTAACAAGTATTTTTCCACATGTCCCTCAACAGAAGCATGCAAATAAGATGCCTGTTTTTTTTATCCAACTCCTTTGCATTCGCCGCTTTTTGCGCCTGAAAAGACTAAAAACTAAGACAACCTTTCTATCGAGCTTTTTCAAATTACTACAGTACAATGGATGAGCTCATAACCACTACATTAACATGCATAAGCTCAGTAATTAGCATGCACATCCCTTGCTCATGCATCTACATCTACACGGACACAACACTGTTACGCCATGCAGACGTCACATAGCGTATTAAGTACTTAAGTACTTAAGTACTACATAGTACTTAAGATCAATTTGATGTTTAATGGACCTTTACTAATATTTGGATGCCGTTTTGTGTTTTTCCCCCTCTGTTTACGCAGATCATCTTGAAGTAAACCACAGAAGAGGAACGGGGTGTCAGGAAGCTGCTTTGAGAAACCCAAAAAGATCCCCGTGTAAATACGACCTGCCCTCCCCTTTAGAACTACAACAACCTGCATGCTAAAGCATAAACACACAAAACACACACCATATACCTGTTATGCTTGCAAAAGTGACTCAACCGGTTTCTAACTTAAAAGATATAAAAACGAGATAAGAAAACATATATATATATATATATATATATATGTGTGTTTAATATATATAATGTACAGCACGTTTCATTGAGGCATAAGTGAGATTCATCCCAATGATCGGTCACCCGTCAGATAATGTGTATTTTCCTCCCATGGTTGTTTTAAATACAAATGCACAATAAGTGGGCGACGAGCTAGGAAACACACTCTCAAACAGTTTGCACTGTCGGAAATAGTGCTTAATAAGTGCTTGATTGTCTTGAACGGGAGGACATCTCCTGCAGAGTATGTTTTAAACATCCCCATGCACCCTCTAGATAGGGGAAAGAGGGGTTTTATTTCTTATTTTAATACACAAAAACACCGAATGTCAAACGGCGGACACAAAGAAGATTGTCTACTGGTCAGAATGCGCTCCTCTTCTTGGACTTGCGCTATCTTCGGAAAGATTAGAGAAGCTATTATTTCCAACTCTTCATCCCCAGTGGCCAAAGAAAGGTTTACAACGACACAAAGCGCATAACGGTTGAAAATCAGTCAGCGTCGGAAGTGCGAATGTGGCAAACCACGTGCCATGCAATCACTTTTCTGTCTGCGTCTCTGCTAAAGGACTGTGTTTTACTCCTTTCTTTTTTGTTTTTAAATGGACACTGAATGATTTTGATGCACCCGTGGAAACACTGGCCATCAGGGAGTCGACTCTGGCTTCTATCCCGTGCCAAGGGCTTACATTAAACTGGAGCGCTGCTGTAAACAAACTCGTACACGAGACGGACTTCTCCAAATTGTCTGGGGCCTGTTTGTAGTCCCACTCACACAGTGCCCAGTGAGCAGAAATGACGATGACGAGGGGGAAACGTTGCAGTAGACTATCTTTGACACATTGTGAATGGAGGGTGCTGTGCTCTCGCCGATAATCCTGTTTTATTTGATAAACAAGTAGAAGTGCCTAAAAAAAAAAAAATATTTTACACAGCAAGCATCTTAAGAAGATGATTTTATGTGGGGTTGGGGGTTATAAAACCATTTAAAGCAAAGCTCCTGAAATGATTTTGGACAGAAAAGAGACAAAAACGAAACAAAACATGTAGTTAAATGCATTTCATGCACATCATGGTCTGTTTCATTGTTTCATTACACAATATCGATGTTGCTAGAAATCGGAGCAAGATGGCATAGGCAGAATGTTTGTTTTGTTGTACGATGTTAGCTTTTATGCTTTCTTGGAGTAGTTGACATTGGAAATGTAAGGAACTTCGAGCTAAATGTCTGTAACACGCATGACGTTTTGAGTTTGGTAAACGATTGTCATTGCGGTGTGTTCTTAACTAGTTATGTTGAGTTTGAGGGCTGTCCTCAGTTAAAGAAATTGTTCACTCAAAAATAAAAAAATTGTTGTTAATGGTACTCGCCCTCAGACCATCCAAAATGTAGATCAGTTTCCTCATTGGAACAGATTTGGAGAAATTTAACATTACATCACTTGCTCGCCAATGGATCCTCTGCAGTGAATGGGTGCCGTCAGAATGAGAGTCCAAACAGATGATAAAAACATCACAGTAATTCACAAGTAATCCACATGACGCCAGTCCATCAGTTAACATCTTGTGAAGCCAAAAGCTGTGTGTTTGTAAGAAACAAATCCATTATTAATGTGTTTTTAACTTCAAGCTAATGCTTCTGGCTAAAATATTAGTCCTCTATCCATAATAACATTTTCTCCAGTGAAAGTCAACTCGTCTGAATCAGGAGAGAAATATGCCCAGATCAAGCACCGTTTACAAGCCAAAACAGTTCTAAACAAATATGTGAGTGGATTTTGATGTGAGAGAACAACAGGGGATGGACTTTTTCACTGGAGAAGGCAATATTATGGATTATGGACTTGTATTTTAGCCGGAAGCAATGGTTTAAAGTTACAGTAAAACATCTTAATGATGGGTTTGTTTCTTAAAAACATGCACATTTTGGCTTCACAAGACATTAATTGATGGACTGGAGTCGTGTGGATTACTTGTGGACTATTGTGATGTTTTTATCAGCTGTTTGGACTCTCATTTGGACGGCACCCATTCACTGCAGAGAATCCATTGGTGAGCGACTGATGTAATACTAAATTTCTCCAAATCTGTTCCCATCAAGAAACAAACTCATCTACATCCTGGATGACCTGAGGCCGAGTATATTTTCAGTTAATTTTAATTTTTTTGGGTGAACTACTACTTTAACAATGTGTCTGTCGTTTTCTTACTATAACAAAACATTTAACAGCATCGTTTAGTTTTTATTTGGATGGTGTTTTACCTGGAATAGTGCACACAGCCTTCTTTTCCTCCCTGATTTGAGATGGGTGAAGCGTGTTTATGCGCATGCCTGAATGCATGTTTGAGTGTGTTATTGATCCAATCAGAACCATCATGTATTTTCATGGTGCTTGATTAACACAGACAATCCACAAAGAGACGTTTGGTTTTGCAGGAATATGGCACTGGTCTTAGCATTTGTTTTTTTTTTAGAGTTTTTTTGTTTGTTTTTTTCCTTTAGGCTTTTTTTTTTTTTTTCGTCGCCAAATTTACATGTTTAATTTA